TAACACCTGTACCACCTGCAGCTCATTTCCTGTTGTGCTGCAATCAGACCAGAGTGAGATGATCTCCTATCACAGACCACAGACCTGACCGCTTGCTGTATACTATACCCTCCAGATATCTCCTCCCTCCCTCCCCTCCTTCTTCCCTCCTCCTCCTCTTTCTCTCGCTTTCTTTCTTTCTTTCTTTCTTTCTTTCTTTCTTTCTTTCTTTCTTTCTTTCTTTTTTTCCTTCATTATTCCCTGCTTCCTTCTTTTCTTCCTTTCTAACTTCCTTCTACATTACACACACACACACACACACACACACACACACACTCGCACACATATATATATAATTTTGGGGTCACACCTGGTGGTGCTCAAGGCTTACTTCTGGCTCTGTGCTCAGATATCACTCCTAGTGGGGCTTGGGCACCATTTGTAGTGCTGAGGATCAAATCAGGGTTGGCCTGGTGCAAGCCCCTCCTCTCCAACCCCTACATCCTTCTTTTCCCTACTCCCTGTCTCTCCCCCCACCCCGCCCCAGTTCTTCCAAGCACACAGCAAACTTATTTTCCTGCAAGGTGGCAGAGCTTGTAAATAGACTAGCTCCTTTATACCGGAGGTTTTCCTGGGTCACTCTGGAAACCCTTTATGTCCTGTCAGGATTTCCCCCCTTTGATTCAACAGAGAACTTTGGTTGGGTTGTGACTTCCCCAATAAGATCCTGAGATTTGGGATAGTCCTCTGGGGCCCACTGACTCCTTGAGTGGGCCCACAGAGACCAAGACTGCTTGAGTGGGTATGACCAGTTCCATAGACTCCTCTCTCCTCACATTTACTGTGAAGCAGATAGTGGCCTCATCTGCAAGAAGCCAGCTCTCTCTGATGAACCCACAACTTACAAACTGTCTGGATATAGATAACTTTTGTGTGCAATTTTTGGGGGGAGTGAGATCACACCCAGCCATGCTCAGGGGATACTCCTGGCTCTGCACTCAGGAATTACTCCTGGTGGTGTTTGAGGGACCATATGGGATGCCGGAAATCAAGCCAAGGTTGGCCACATGCAAGGCAAACACCCACTGTACTATTGCTCAGCCACTGTGTGCAATTTCTATTGCTATAATTAATCAATCCCCAGCACTGCACGGTTCCCCCTGTATACCGCCAGGTATGTCACCTCCCTGCTAAAAAACAAAACCCAAAATATAGAACTTAAGAGCCAGAGACACAGTACAAAGACTAAGGCACTGGTTTAGCAAGTAGCCATGGCCACAACCTGATTTAAATTTCAGCACCACTGCATTTGGTTTCCTGAGGACTGCCTGCCATGGCACCTGGGCACAGAACTAGCTAAGGGGATGGACCTACAGTACTGTTGGTTGGCATTTACCTTGTATGTGGCTGACCCAGGTTCAATCCCCAGCATTCCAGATGGTTCCCTGAGCAACCCCAAGAGCAATTTCTGAATGCAGAGCCAGGAGTAAACCCTGAGCACTGCTGGGTATGACCAAAAAAGAAAAAAAAAAAAAAAGGAAAAAGAACAAAGTATGGCATCTAAGCACCACTGGGTGTGGCTCACAAAAAAGCCCTTAATAATTTGGGGGGCAGGGGCTGAGGAGCACTTGGATGGCAATAGACTCAGTGGCAATAGAATTGGCGGGGGGTGGGGAGTGGAGAGGGGGCCAGCATAAACCTTCAAGAAGCTCAGAGCTTGGAGGCCACCAAGACCACACCCAGTAATCTGGGCAGAAGGGTAATGGAAATAAAAGTGAAGGTGCTCTCCAGGAATAGTTCCTGAGTGCAGAGCCAGGAGTAATCACTGAGCACTGCCGGGTGTGACTCAAAAAAAAAAAAAAGTGAAGGTGCTAAGTAAGTGCTCTCTCCCTATCCGATCTTTGTAATAAATTCCCAGTCCTTTCACTAATGTTGTTGCAGTGATCACTCTCACACCTGGCTACAATCCTCAGAACATACTCATTGGGTTGCCATGTCCACTGTTAACCCTAAAAGGGCAAACTCTCTGTCCTCACACTCATGGCCTCAGTCTTGCAAGGCAGGTACTTTTACCACTGGACCCTCCTTAGCCCCGCAGATAATCCTGATCTTTGCTTTTTGTTTTGCTTTGCGGCCACACTCAGAAGTGCTCAGGGGCTATTTCTGACTCTGTACTGGGGCCCAGGTGATACTGGAGTGGAAGCAGGCCTCCTGCATACAAAGCATCCCCTTAGCTTGCTGATTTTCTCTCCTGCTCTAAACAGGTCTTAACCAATGCCTGACACATCAAAACTCAGTGAATGTTAGTTACTGTTACTATCTTTTATTAATATTATTTTGAGGGCATATCTGGCAGTGCTTGGAAGTTACTCCTTGTTTTGTGCTTCAGGTCTTTCCTGACAGTGCTTAGGCGATCATGCAGTGCCCAGAATCCAGTTTGGGTCAGTTACATGCAAAGTAAGCACTTTGTCCTCTGTGTTATCTTTCCAGTCCTATATTTTATTTTATTTTAGCCACTGCAACTGATGCTCGGGGTTTACTTCTGACTCTGTGCTCAGGGATCACTCCTAGTGGGTTCAAGGATCCATATGGGATGCTGGTGATTGAACCTGGGTCAGCCGTGTACACGGCAAATGCCATATCCACTGTACTATCTCTCCGGCTCCCTGGTCCAATGTTTTAAAGCATTATTATGTTTGAGTAACTGTTACAAACTATTTCATAAAATTTAAGTCTAAAAAATGGTACCTGAACCAGAGTGATAGTTCAGTGGGTAGGGCACTTGCCTTGCCATGGCTGACCATGTTTCAATCCCTGGCATCCCTTGTGGCTACTGAGCCCTGCCAGAAATGATCCCTGAGTGTAGAGCCAGAAGGTACCCCTGATCAACACTGAGTATGCCCCCACCCCCAAAAATGGTGCCATCTCTTTAAAATTTTAAGTCTGGGGTGGAGAACTAGCACAGGAAGGAAATCTCTTGCTTTACATCCCACCCTTGTTAGAATTCCTGGCATCACCAGGGATCCTGAGCACAGAGTGAGGAACAGTCCCTTTGCACCACTGGGTGTGGTCCAAACTCTCCCCTGGCCCTCCCCTCCCGAAAACAAAACAAATTTTTGAATCTAAGGCCAGAGGGATAGTACAGAGGGTACTGCATGCTGATGACCCTGTTTTGACTCCCCAGCATCCAACATGGTTCCCAAGCACCACCAGGAGTAATTTCTGAGTAATTCCTGGCTCTGGTCAGGAATAATCTCGAGCATGGCTGGCTATAGCCCAAAAGCGAAAAGTAAAAAATAATTTAAAAATTGAATCTAGACTTGGTTCATTTTTATACTGGTTTTTGTTATTATTTCTGTGATGACAGAGGATTGTACCCTTAGTTGTGGTGCTCACTGAGGTCACATACTTGATTGTGATGCTTGCAAACTTGGTTGAGGCAAAGGGGATTGATATAGCAACACTGCTGAGATCACACTCAGCTTGGGAGCCAGTGCCAAGGATCAAACTCTCTTCACTGCCCTTATGTTTGTAAGGCAGTTGCTCCATCTTCTGTATCATCCCCAGGGCCTAGCTTCCTTCCTTCTAGGTAAAAAGGCCTACCACTTTTCCCAACCATGCCATTTGTCTCATACTGGGGGGGCTTAGAGGGACTGTAAGTGGTGCCAGGAATCAAATTCGGGTCAGCCTCATCCAAGGGAAGCTCTTTCACCCACTGCACTATCTCTCGGTCCTTGTGTTTGATGTCTTTCCCTTACTAGCCTATTGTTGGGATTCATTTTTGCTATTGAATGCACTGACCACAGTAATAGTTCATTTTATTGTGGTACACAGTTAATGCAATGACTGGTTGACAAACATTTGCTTTGCTCCAGTTTGTGCCTATTGGGAATAATACAGTTATGCAACTTGTATATAATTTTTATTATTTTTTTCTATTCCTTGCAATTTTTGTGTGGGCATATGTTTATATTGTTTGTGGGTGACTTTCTAAGTTGCTGGGTCATAAAAAATGGGATTTCTGATTTATTAGTGTACGTATAACTTTGTAGAATGTTACCAAACTATTGTCCAACATTTTGCAATTTCACCTCAATATATTGAAACTCTAGTTTGCCTCAACCTTTTTAACACCTGTAGTGTTTTTGCTTGTCAAAAAGATCTAGAAAGATAATTTAGGAGTTAAGGTGCTTGTTTTGCACCTAGCCAACCCTAGTTTGATCTCCAGCACTGCATATGGTCCCCCAAGTACCACCAGCTATAATTCCTGAGCACAGAACCAGGACTAAGCCCTGAGCAATGACATGTGAGGTCCAATTGTGCCCAACAGTCCCTACCCCATCATAAAAAACAACAAAAAAGAACATATAGGCTTTCATTTTACTTTTTTTCCCCCATTTTTCTTTTCTTCTTCTTCTTTTTTTTTCTTATAGTGATGCTCAGAAGTTACTTCTGGCTCTGCACTCAGGAATTACTCTTAGTGGTGCTTAGGGGACCATATGGGATTCCAGGAACGAAACCTGGATGGCTGCATGGAAAGCAAGCACACTACCTGCTGTACTTTTGCTCCAGCCCCTGTGTTTTTCATTTTTCTTTAAATAAAAAATACTTAAAAATAGTAGTCTTGGAGAAAAATTGAGTTAAATATTTTGTGAAATTGGACTGACTCTAACGTTTACTTAACAAGCTAATGTGTAGGAGAGTCAAAAAAAATTTGAAAGTGACAATGAAGGGAATAGATCCCAGAAAGTTTCAAACAGTCTCTAAAGCTACAGTAATTTGTGCTTGCTTCAGCAGCACTGTAGCACTGTGGCACTGTCCTCTCGTTATTCACCGATTTGCTCAAGCGGGCCCAGTAACGTCTCCATTGTGAGACTTGTTGTTACTTGTTTGGCAGATCGAATATGTCACGGATAGCTTGCCAGGCTCTGCCATGCGGACGAGATACTCTCGGTAGCTTGCTGGGCTCTCCGAGAGGGGCAGAGGAATCGAACCCGGCTCGGCCAGGCTGATCACGCGCAAGGCAAATGCTTTACCGCTGTGCTATCATTGGAACAATACAGAGAAGATTAGCATGGCCCCAAGCAAGGATGACATACAAATTCATGAACTGTTTCATATTTTTGAAATTTACATGTAAGTGGATGGACAAGGAGAGTATCATGCTAATTGAAATTAGAGAGGGACAGACATAGAATTACTGCAGTCATTTGTGGAATATAAAGTAGCATAATATGAGACCAACACCTAAGGACAGTAGAGATAAGGGCCAGGAGGATCACTCCACAGTTTGGAAACCTGCCTCATGTGCTGGGGGAAAAGGCAGTTGGGATGGAGAAGGGATCACTAAGTCAATGATGGTTTGAGGTATAGGTCAGGATGGGAGATGTGTGCTGAAAGTAGACTAAGGACTAAACATGATGACCTCTCAGTATCTGTATTGCAAACCATAATGCCCAAAATTAGAGAGTAAGAAGCAGTGTACCTGCCACAGAGGCAGGGGGTGGGATGGGGTCGGGGTGGCGGGAGGAATACTGGGGACATTGGTGGTGGAAAATGTGCACTGGTGGAGGGATGGGTGCTCGATCATTGTATGATTGAAATGTAATCATGAAAATTTGTAACTGTATTTCATGGAGATCCAATGGAAAAAAAAAGCAAAAAGAAGTTATAGTAATTTAAACACTTTACTGTCACATGCAAAACCTCCCAGAAGGCCAGGGATGTGACTCAGTGGCAGAATATGAAGTATGTGCTTCACATGTGTGAAGCCCTGGGTTTGATCTCCAGCATAGAAAAAAACACCCAAACCAGCTCCTCCCTACAAGAAACCAACTACCAGGGCGGCAGAGATTGTGCAGCAGGTAGTCAAAGCACTTGCTTTGCACAATTGACCTGAGTTCAATCCCTGACACCCCATATGGTCCTCCAAGCCCTGAAGTCAGGAGTAAGCCCTGAGCACCACCAGAGCACCACCAGATGGAGTCTCAAAACCACACACCTCCCCCCAAAAACGACTTCCAGAGAAATCATACAGAGTCTGGAAAAGCATTCCTGAGGCAATAGATATTTCAGCCTACAATAAAAGTTATTTATTTATTTATTTACTGTTTTACATATTTTCTGGAAGTGCTCATGGTACCTTGTGTTGGGGATCAAATCTGGATCTCTTGTATGCAAAGTAGGATCCCCAACACCATGGTTCCCCAAGAACACTGGGAGTAATGCCTGAACACAGAGTCAGGAGTAGCCTCCAGCATTTCTGAGTGTGACCCCCCAAAACAAAATGCACATGAAATTAAAAACTGAAAATGAGATACAGCCGCAGAGAAGGGCCACATGGAGGGCTGGCTCCACAGCTCCCAGAGAAGACACCAGGTTCCAAAAAGAGCCGAGATCACCGGGAAGTCCCAGATGGGGTAGGTGCCGCATCCCGCCTCCCCCAGATGGAACCCCGGTGACCAGAAGCCTCTACAAGCGTAGCTCGAGTATGCGGAAACTAGGACTTTTCTAGAAACTAGGAACTAGGACATCTCTGTATATACAAAGTGATCAATGGGAAGTAAATCACCCAACGTTTCTCCTTGAAAATCAGAGTTAAGTTTGGAGCACAGCCACAGCCCCAGAAGCACAAGGACTTAATGCAGAACCCAGCAGCTTGGAGCAGAAAAGTGAACAGACTATGCGTTAATCCAGGCCATCATGTCTGCCCAGAGGGGAAAGGGTGTTGCCCCATTCGCCCTCTCCTCTCTGAAAAGAAAGATGGCGGCCGCATGGGAGCCTTGTGGACAGCAGGTATGAGCCGGGGGTATGGGGGCGACTAAAACCTCATGGGAAGGGGGGCGTTCCTGTCCGTCCTTCACGCCCTACCGAGGCCACCAGTTGCCCCCCATGAGCGGCTCTCCAGCACGACCACAGCCCCAGAAGCACAAGGACTTAATGCAGAACCCAGCAGCTTGGAGCAGAAAAGTGAATGGACTATGCGTTAATCCAGGCCATCATGTCTGCCCGGAGGGGAAAGGGTGTTGCTCCCTTCCGCCCTCCTACCTCTGGAAAGAAAGATGGCGGCCACATGGGAGCCTTGTGGACAGCAGGTATGAGCCGGGGTGTGGGGGCGACTAAAACCTCATGGGAAGGGGGGCGTTCTGGTCCGTCCTTCACGCCCTACCGAGGTCACTAGTTGCCCCCCACGAGCGGCTCCCTGGCACGGCCACGACTCCAGAGAACAGAAACCAATCTCTTAATTATCTGACTTTCAGTAGAAATACTTCCAGGGTTAATAAGTAAAATAGCGGAAATCCAAAACGAACATTTAATTCTTGAACCAGCTGTAGAAAACAAATCACTTCACAATGCTTTTTCAGCATGTCTGATTTGGGGGGGGGGGTAAACTCTAAATAATAGTGGTGCATCTTTTATTGAAACAGTGAATCTAACCAAAGCAGATAGAGTGTTAACTAGAATTCATCTGCCTCGCAGGCACTGGGAGGGTTGGGGGGTGGGGTTTTATTGGGGTTCTTCGGGGTAAAAAATAAGTATTGGTAAAGGGAAATGTGTTTGATATTTGCATGACTGAGACCTAAACCTGAAAGCTTTGTAACTTTTCCCACAGTGATCCAATAAATAAATTATTTAAAAAAAAACTGAAAATGAATTCCAGTCCCTTCCAATTACCCCTCTTTGGATACTTTCCATAGAAGAGATTCATATATCTCTATTGTACACTACAGTGTTATTTGCTTTTATTTTGATTTGGGGGCTACTGCCGGGCGATGTTTAGGGCATACTTCTGGATCTAGGCTCAGGAATCACTCCTGGTGGGCTTTGGGGGTCAGATGAGATGCCAGAGATTGAACCCAGGTCGGCCACATGCCAGACAAGCACCCTACCTGCTAAATAATGAAAGTGCTGGACCCCACAGCATTATTTATGTTTGCTTTTTTTTTTTTTTTTTTTGCTTTTTGGGTCACACCTGGGTTAGTCCTGTTATTTCTGGCTCTGCACTCAGGAATTCCTCCTGGCGGTGCTCAAGGAACCATATGGGATGCTGGGAATCGAAGCCGGGTTGGCCATGTGCAAGGCAAACCCTACCCGCTTTGCTATTGCTTTAGCCCCTTTGTTAACTTTTTTTTTCTTTTTGGGTCACACCCGGTGATGCACAGGGGTTACTCTTGGCTCTGCACTCAGGAGTTACTCCTGGCGGTGCTCAGGGGACCATATGGGATGCTGGGAATCAAACCCGGGTCGGCTGTGTGCAAGACAAACGCCCTACCTGCTGTGCTACCGCTCCAGCCCCCCACCCTTTGTTAACTTAAAAAAAAAATTATAAATCAATCACAGTGAGATACACAGTTACAAGGTTGTTTATGATTGGTTTTCAGTCATTTAATGTTCCAACACCTATCCCTTCACCAGCATACATTTCCCACCACCAATGTCCCCATTTTCCCTCCCGACCCCCACTGCTTCTGTGGCAGGCATTTTTCTTCTCTCTCTCTCTCTTCCCTCCTACCTTTCTTATCTCTCTTTCTCTTTCTCTCTCACTCTCTCTTTTGGGGATTATGGTTTGCAATTCAGATGCTGAAAGGTTATCATGTGTGTCCCTTGCCCTGCTTTCAACCCTCAGTGCTTATCCAGAGCGATCATTTCCAACTATTATTGTCTTACCAGTCCCTTCTCTATTTTAATCTGCAACATTATTTGTATATTAATAATGTTTGTACATTTGTTTATTATTTGTATACTAACTACACTAGTTATACAAAACAAATGTCAGCCCTTTGAGCTATCTCTCCAGGCCTCTGTTTTCAGTACATTTTGTTTTGGAGGACCAAAGAGACAATACAACAGGTTGGGTGGCCTTGCACGTGGGTGACCTGGACTCCATCCCTGGCACCTCATATGGTACCCTAAGCCCCACCAGGTGTGATCCCTGAGCACAGAGCCAGGAATAAGCCCTGAGTATTGCTGAGTTAGATAGGGGGATAAAAAAAAAGTGATTCTGTTTCTGGTTTTGGACATGGAGGTGCTCTGGGGATAATGTGGTGCCTGGGGTCGAATCTAGTCTTTTTTCATGCAAAGCGTGTTTGTCCATGCTTTCAATTATCTCCAGGGCCCAGATATTGACCTGGAGGTCAGGGTAAACCACAGTGTAGTTCCAGGGGTAGTTCCAGCTCTGTGCTCAAGGCACCAGTGGTGGGTAGAGGACCAGGTGGTGCTGGTGATCAAACCAGGGTTGGCTGTATGTAAGACAAGTGCCTTAATCCTTGTCCCATCTTTCTGTCATCAGATAGTGATTTTTTAAATGACACACTCCTGCACCTTGTATAATGAGAAAATGCAATGTTACTGAAACAAACAACAAAAGTAACTACAACAACAGCAATAGTAAAGGAAAATCCAAAAGCAGTAAGAAAAGTATGGCTGTTCCCAGAGGGCTGGGCTCAGGAGTGCTCAGGAAGGTCGTCCTAATACGCACCTTTCCTTGGACAACTCTCATCTGACAGTTCCTATCACAGCCTTTGCAATTACCCCTACGTGACTTAACAAGTGTGTTGAAGAGATGTTCTTTTGAATGTCTTTGTGCTGGGGAAAACTTGTTACACTTTCGAGGGGCTTTGCCAAGTCGGTAGAGATTCCAGTTCATGCTCGGCAGTTACAACAGAAAAGTGGGAAACTGCAGCCATTGTGTGATGATTTGTGTGGAGCAGATGAATGACCTTGTGAGATGCTAGCAACCAAAGAAAGAAAACAAGTTCTAGCATGTCACTGTGAGGTGATTTGGGTTTTTTCAACCTGAAAAGACCACCTGAGGAGAGCTGGTATGGGGCTAAGTGCTTGCCTTGGACGTGGCCAACCTGGGTTTGATCCCCCGAGCTCAACCACTAGTAATCTCTGAGCACAGAGCCAGGGGACAGCCGGAGTGCCAAGAAAACGGAAAAACTAGATTGGGAGGAGATAGAGTTCTTTAGGGGTTCTAGAAAGAGCCTAAGTGTGGTCTCCACCCAAATGTCTGGTTATTATCTTGGTCTGAAAGAAAGACTTTGAGGTTGAGACAGAGCTCAGAGGGCTGGAACGATGACTCAGGCCTGAGCACTCTTATGAGCAGGTCTGTCTCAGTGGTAA